ATAACATGCTGAAATTAATCATGGGTTATTACTCATTAAAACCTTAAAGTAATCAAAAAGTAATCAAAAGTAATTAGTTACATTACATTTTAAAAGTAATCGAATAAGTTACACTACAATTACATTTTAAACAAGGTAACTTGTAACTGTAACGGATTACATTTTTAAAGTAACTTACCCAACACTGCATCTGTGTGAGTGCAGCACATCATCTAGTAAAGTTCCAAGCACCCCACATGTACTTCACATTTCTTTTTAATTACTGCTTATTTCTGTTAAGTTTAATGGTGGTAACACATATATTTAATCTGAAATTCATTTGAATTTTAACAGTAGTTTTAATAATGTGTTCAGTAATACAGCATCTCCATTCCATGAGCTGAAAACTGTTTCATGTGAAAAGAACACATTTTTTGTTTTGTTACATTTAAAAGTGACACCGTGTTTGCTGTTGTTTTTAGACGGAGCAGGATTTTTCACCACGACAAAATATGAAGTGGGGATTCTAGGACAGAGGCAGCATGAGTTCTCAGATACTGTACTGAGGGATAAGCCGTCCATGGAGCTTTTTTTTTCTTTTTGAAACTGGAAACACTTACATGTGCCATTTTTTGTGTTGACATGCACATGAAAATGGAATAAATTGTCCCCAGGACATGGATCAATATTTTTTCCCTGTTAAAGCCGCTCTAAACCAGGGCTTCGGATTTTGAAAAGTGCAGAAAAGAGGGATTCTGGCCCCATACCTTTCTTTGCATGACATCTTTCAGTCATTCAATCGATCAAAGGTCCTCAAACCCCCAGAAATCTCTAATAGTTTGCCTCTGGCATTGAGCTTCATGGATATATATACACACAGACATTTCTTTAAGGTAACCTAACTCCCTTATCAGAGTAGGATTCCTTAAAACGTAATCCTTGAAATAATCCACCACTTCTGTAGTAGTAATTGGATTTAATACCACTCAGACGTACTCTCACATATGTATGCATTTATATTGTAGTAGTACATTAGCCTGAAAATAGAATTTTTCACACTGGCCAAAAACATGTTTTTTTAATTGCCCATTTCAAGATTGGCTTTCTGAGTGTGAATTGTTGGCGTTCTCTGTGATTGACTGGTGGCTCGCTGAGGGTGCATCCCACCTGCTGCACAATGTCAAACAGGATAAAGCTTGATAAGAGAGAGTGGATGAGTCAGAGAGTGCCTGGACAGACATTTCATTTTGCTCTGAAGCAGAGCAAACTCTTGTTTTTCGTCCAATTATATTGTTTTATTCACTCTTGAAATACTGTAATTTATGAATTTCAGGATTTCACCTCTTTGAGTGTGATAATTGTTGCTTTCCTATTGTCTCATTGCAATAGTATCACATTAACTCTACCTGCATGAATTTTCACAAATTAATGTAGGGACAATTGGCTTCATAAGAGCAATCACGGATCGATGCCAAATTTGTAATTGTTCCAACTCTGTGAGTCACAACACTGATAAAGTTTAGATTTTTCTCTTAATATTTAAAATGCATCCACTGAAAAAGCTGTTAATGGCATTTTTCTTTTCGGGAATATTTGCCTCTAAAAACTTCCAATAGTATATTCAACACTTAAAACTTAAGATTTCTTTTCTGAAATGAATTTTTTGAGTTTTTGTAACTGAACAAGAGCACGGTATTGCCTGTGAGTCAATTATCACATCAAGAGTATGCTTTTTCCTCATCAGTTCTAAAACATGCGCCCGCATTTACTTTGACAACTTCAATGTTTGCTGAAGCAAATGTCGCCTGTCTAAATGTGTTGTGAAATTATTGTAATCTCTCTATTTTAAGCCTTAGAAGAACTTAACTCAAAATCATCCATACAATGTCTTTAGAGTGAAAAAGTGCTGCCGTTTGTCAGATCTCCAGTATTACATCAACATAAAGGGTTCATTGTTATCGATTTAAAACAGGGAAGCTGTGCATAAAAACCTTGGACAAGCGGTTGGTTGACTGGCTCTCTCTTTTGACCTTATTGTTGTTAAAGAACTAACTGAATTGATTTTAAATGAAGATGGCCCCACCCCCAACATATCAAACTCTGATGTGCTGTGTCCAGAGTAGGTCAAACGATAGATTGCAGGACTTATTTCTATTGTAATGGGGAGAGCGTTCGCAAACCTGACAACTATAGATATGTGTTATTGTGAATTTGATCACTTGGATATTGTTTCCACCTTTACCAAACACAACAGTTGAGCTGTGGCAGATTATATAAGGACAATAAAATTGAAAATGAAAAGCAGCGTTGTTGAGTAGATTTGTCTTTAATGTGAGTCACCTGCCTCTGAGCCAGGTGAGTATCCGGTCCCTCCAATCTTTCCATTTTGTCCATATTAATTGATTGTAATTGCTGCAACAACTAGCGCGGACGGTGCATTACTTACCACTGTCTTATTACTGTCAATATGGAGCTGTGGAGCTATTCATGTGCGTTGAACAGTGACGATAAAGGCGTGACCCATGAATTAAAACTGGCATAAAGGACTGTTTGCTAAGTGGCAGTATGTGACAAGCTGGGAATGAGAATCTGTAGCAAAAATAGATTATACCACCTGACATTTATTGATCCACGAAGCACAGATTTATTGTGCTCTATGTCATTTTTGATTTTATTTCAGCAAGCAGGTCCCTCTGTTTGACAGCTGTCAGAGAAATACACAGCAGCTGTCGACGTAAACAGTTTTTTTCCTTCTTCAAAATGTGTTACTTAGAAACACCTGTAACTCGTCAAGTAGCTTAACCTGACCTGCAATCAAACTCTGCTATTCCGCAGATACCCCAATTACCACTGCACTAACCTTCCACCAACCTGAAATCTGTTAAGGATTGCAATTCTTAATCTATCTACTATTTGATATAACTTTACAACTGCTAAAAGTTTTTCTGAATCGATTCTCTACTTTTGAAGGAATGGGTTTTTTGCATTTATAGTTTCAGTTTGAGTGCTTTTATCATTAAATATATTTTGTTCAGTAGAATGGCCTTCCACCTCACTAAATGAACTTTTTATTTAACTTATTTTTTCATTCGTATTCAAAGATTTATTATCAAGTGATTTTCAAGTATATGATCATTTCTATTTTTAAACATCACTTAAGATCACTTATTCATAATTTTTTCTACAATGGACATTTGTTTTGTCATTTCTTGATTTGTTTAAAACTGTGAGGCTTTCAACAGAACATATTTCCTTTTTAATGTGCTAATATCGCTTTAAAAGATGAATGCTTCCCTTTCATTGCTGCAGTTCTGTAAAAACAATATGATCCAATAGTGTATGATAGTGTCTAAATTGCTGATGTTGTAGCTTTAAAAGCCAACAACACCGACAAGTAATGCTGACTACAGCAGTCTTAATGAGATAGCCTGGTTTGTGCCACCGAAAGTTGCCACCTTCCTGTAGCTGTGCTTTGCACGGATGAAAATGTTGGACCGGCTCCTGTATTCTCAGGGCTTTAGGAAACAGTGTGGTATAGATTATCCACATAGACACTGGTGGGAATCTCATTACAGGAAAGAAAGTTGTCTCAGCACAAGGTCTTCAGCCTATGATTCATGTTTTTAATGTTCCAAATCGCATTCATTTATCCACCTTCATCATATTAAAATAACAGAGCTGTGTCTATTGTCTCGCCACGTTTGCAGGGACTTCAAAAATGTTCTTTTTCAAGGAAAGTGCATTTCATTCCTTTACCTTTTTCACCTGATTTTGCCATTAGTGTTAAATTGCTGCTTTTTCCCAGCAAATACAAAAATCGCTCTTTCTCAGTAATGCAAACAGAAAAACAACTGAATCTCTGACTCAGCTGGGGGTGCAGCAGTGCAAAGAAAAAACTTGAGCGACTAAGAGATTTGTCACGTTAGAAGACATGTCTGTGGATGTGTTGTGGATTCACATCACTGAACGTACTCCAAGTATTTATTTTGTTCTTTTGTGTGAGCATGACAGTGCAAGCAACCCCTGCTGCCTGAGGAGAGTATTAAACATGTTCTCTTATGTGGGAGTCATTTATCCATCTGCAGTGCTGCCCTGTGTTAAAGTATTTAATCTCGCACAAGAAACAGCTTCATAGTTGATCATTGCAGTAATCAAATGGTTCATGAGTTCAAAATGCATTTCTTTTAAATTGTTCTCTTCTTTTTCAAATTAGCTGTGTGGAATGTAGCGACCCCATTCAAGTCTAATAACATTTCAAAGGCACCTCTTTAGCAATTAAGTCTTCCCTAAATGTAGGTTGAGCAAGAAAAAATGCATTATTGTTCTGTAAACCCGGTTAACTAAAGGACATTTACCATATTTTGATAAGAAGAAGTACCCAATGGTCCAATAACTTTTAAATTATTTTATGACAAACCCCTTTACAACTGACGATAAATCAAGATAGTCTGTTTTTTTCCTTGTACACAATACTTTATCAAAGAATCACATAGAAAAACATTTCTTTCAAGAATGAGCGCTTAACCTGTTTTTTTCACCCTCATCCCTTCGTTTCTCATCCCCCCCCCCACCCCCACCCCCCTCGACAGGTTAAAGCTGTCAACTACTAAGAACATTCGAACAACAGAAATACGTACAACAGCACACAGACCCTTTAAGTTTAAGATTAGAATGCAACACACACAATTCAAAAATATATCCTCTAATCTTGCAGAAGTTGCCTTTTTTTTCCATTTTTACACTTAGAAAAAATACACAGTTAATTGGATTGACCAGGAGAAATGCTTTCACAAAGTCACAAGTGGTAGTGTATTTTGCACCATGACGGCTTTGGATATGGGACTGCTCTATTCTCGCTCAGTGTCTGCAGTGTCCCGTGTGCCATTAAGCATAAGGGATCATGACTTGTGTGTTCATGAGTGTTCATCCACCCTTAAAGGTGCAGAGCACTGCTCTCTGCCAGCATCCTGAGGGTCATATATACTCATATGGACATGTCCTGGGCTCATCCCATCATTATGTCATGTGTGTTCGCATGTTGTCACTTCGGGGAGAGGCGTCTGGTCCTGCATGACCACTTGAGGAGGGGTGGGGGCAGGGCGAGCATGTGCCACCGAGTTTTTCTGGAGCTCCACTCCAAAGGCAGGGGGAGCATTCTGCAACTGTCTCCTGTACTGCACAAAGCTGCAGGTCTTTAAGATGATGGCCAGTATGTTCTTTCCTATTAGGATCCCAGACACCCTGGCGTCCTTGTACAAAATCATGTTCCCTCCACGGATGAAGAGTGTGATAATGTTGATGGTCACCAGGCTGAGGATCGGGTACAGAAGCATCTTGTGGGGGACAATGTTGATGCCCTGCATGCTGATCTCGCTCAAAGACACACAGGGCAGCACGAGCAGGAGGATGTAGCAGTAGAAGAACATCAGGCCCTCTGCCCAGAGCGGCAAGCCTTTTTTCTGAGGCTCCCACAGATTGGCCTGGATGTCCAGGATGTCAAGCAGATCCACTACCACCCAAAAGAGGCGGTTTCGTATCTCCTCGCGCTTCTTGAAGGCGCGGACATACTCCATGTGGTCGATGGCGACCAGCACGATAAACAGGACCGGAATGCAAATGGACAGCAGTAAGGTCAACGCTTTCCTTGCAAGGGCGTCCAAGCTCTTTCTGTCCGCTTTGTAATTTTGATACACAAAGTAGACCTTGATCTCCAGCACAAAGATGTAAAGGAACCAGAGGATCATGGCGTAGCCTCGCTTAGCCGTGCGCACCTCGGCACCCACCCACACTGCCACGTACCGCAGCACGATTAGGAAGCAGATGTCTCCCACCATCACCATGATGCAGATGCCAATCTTACGGGGTCCGTGGTTCTGCTCCACTAGGTAGGCATCAATCAGTGCCATGCTGCTCATAATAAGAATTGTGGACAGGCACACGTGGGGCTTGTTGGTGGGGGGTGGGGGTACCATTCTTGCCTGAACGATGGGGAGAGGAGGAGGAGCGCTGTTCAAGAAGGGGTGCACAGGTTCCTCAGATTAGCCAGTGAGGATGCAGATCAGATGCTAGACAGTGGTTTTCCCCTCCATTGCTTCTGTCTTGGCAAGAATCCAGGGTGCATTAATTGGATTCACACAGATCACTTCAATCAATCACCATTTGTGCCCAAACCACCTGCCGGGCAGACACTACCCCTCATTTGGTAAGTGATATTTATTGCAATATGGTCTGTAAACATGCAGGTCCACTTGTGAAAAAATTAGTAAATGTCAGGGTCTGCCTGCCTCTTACACCTTAATCATCATTCACTGAACATAACAGCTCAATCAGTGAGTCAGAACATGTGTTGTGAAAAGAGAGGGGGGAAAAGCGGCTGCGTTGTGCTTTTGTTACAGATTCACTTGGACCAGCCTTGTTCTTATGCAAGCTTAAGCTTCTGAGATAAAGATCCAGCTGAATACTCACTTGTGTCCCTTTTTGTACTTTATCCTAATGACTGGCAGAGAGCGACCATCCATGAGACTGCGCTCAGAGATCACAGAACCCATATGTAATCCACAGGAGGAAAAAGAGAAAGAGCCAAAGATCTTCTCCTTCTATGACAGACGTAAATCCACCACTTATAGATAGGTCTCTTTTTATCTCTCTTTTTTTTTTTTTGCTACACAGAAGTGAAATCCCAAAAGACTGCCATCATAATCCACTTACAGCTCAGACTGATTCAGGAATAGGCATCATGATGGTCTCAGGAACAGCTCTTCTCTTCTGCAACTCAGAATGAATCTTATTTTTGTTCTTGTGCCTTTTTGGTTTAAAAGCCAAACTCCCAGAAAGAAAAAAAGGTAAAGTTAGTTATGAGGAGAAATTCCCTCCCAGAAGTTTTCACCTGTATTATCCACCATCCATTCGCAAAAAAAAGATTAAAACATTTTTTTTTCTTGTGCTCAGAAGAGGAAAGGTTTCAGTGATCTTTTAAATGCCGTGTGCGTGGACTGTCCTTCTCTCTCTTCTCTTTTGGTGGTTTGTGTTTGTGCAGGCTGTTTCCACTCTTCGCTGTGGCTGGAAAAAAAAACGCTGCCCCCTTGGCCGGATCCTATCTGCTTTGCTGTCCTGTCTTCTGCCTGAGCAGCTTTTGCCAGGGACACCAGGATCAACAGTGTCAGTGGATCCCCCCTGCCTCCAGCACAGCCGGCTCTGTGATCCTCCAGTTCAGCTGCCTCTGCCCGCCTCTCTGCGCGCTCCTCTGCCCTCTGTGTGAAGTAAAGAGACGCTCCTCCGCTTCGCAGGGACACGCTCCTGGGATTTATTTTTTTCTCCTGCTTTCAAAGCTGCCGTCCTCTCGCTTCTCCCTCTTCTGCTCAAGTAAAGGCACTTGCTGTGTGGAGGTGACGCTCAGCAGAGCACAGCTGCAGAGAGATAGAGAGAGACCGGGAGGGAGAGAGAGAGAGACGGAGAGAAAAGAGGGAGAGAGGGAGACTTTTCCAGGAGGTGGAGAAAGGCGGGGAGAGATGGGGGGGGGGGGGGCTTTGCAGCTTGGCTGAATGCACAACTTCTCTCCCTCACCCAATTTTTTTTCTCCTCTTACTTTTCTTCTTTTCACATTGTGTTTTGCGCTGATATCCTCTTTTCTCAGGCTGTTTCATTTATGGCTTCCAGATAAAGCCCCGGTTTCCTTATTTTTTGCGGAGGAACATTACGGCACTATGCAGTTTTTCCCTCTAAAGTTGATTGTGCACAGATGAAGAGTGATCCAGAGGGGAGAGAGCCACTCTTCAGTATGGTATGTAGAAATCCAGCCTCCGAAATGGCCGTTTCTGCATTGAGGGGGTCTGATGTGGGGGGCAGGAGTGGAGGGATGGTGGCAGTGGCTCCCTCTGACAGGGAACCTTTTTATTGATCCCCAAACAGAGCAGTGAATCAGGACACTGAGATGGGCCGAGATACCCAAAGAGACTAGGGTTAAGGGGAGATGGGGAGGTTCAGATGTGGAGGCAGCTAATGAGAAAGGGGGGAAAACAAGCGGAGGAGGAGGCAGAGTGTAGAGATGACAAGAGAAGAAAGGACACCGGGACCTATGGGGCGCAGGATTAAATGTCATGGGGCCATTTTTATCTTCGGAGATGTAATTATATCCGGGCATGCAGATGATTTTCATGTGAAAATTTAGAAAGGTAGGAAAGGATTGGTGTGCACACTTTTCAATGCAGTGCACTAACACGGCTAATTCTGTTTATCCAGCTGGGCCAATTAGGGATAATACTTCCTCAGAGGAACCAAACATTTTCTTCCATCCAGTATGATGTCATGTTATTACTAATGTCATGAATTGCAGTTATTGAAAGGACAAATGTGTTGCATTTTTCTGCTGTGTGGCTCCACTTTTCAGCACTGTGTAATGACAATGAAGGATCATTTTAGTCAAGCTGGGATTTCTTTTTTTTCTTTTTTTTTTGCAGCCATGAATAGATGTGGCGACCAGCTGTGGATCAGCTGACAGCTGCCATCATGTCTGTTTATGACCTCTATCATGCCTCCTTCATGGAAGCATATGGGAGCCCCTCTTATGAAAAGTGAAGTCAAGTGAAAAGCCATTAGCCTTTCAGATGGTTTCTTATTGACTGTTTCCCTTGGATTTATCGACCATAATTGGCCCTCGACAAGTGCAGTGATGAATTATATCCTTCAATGCAAACTGTAAAGTTGGTGCTCCTCCCTCAACAGTTTTGAGCGGTGATTACTAAACACACATGCCAGGCCTCATTTTAATACCGACTGGTGCTGAAAGGTTACGGCAATACATTTAAAAGAATGTCTGGGAAGGTGTATGGGTGGTTAGCAAAATAAATCTTTGTCTAACAAAAGGTCACAGGTCTGATTTCCGTGACAGGCCGCGTACCCATTAAATGCCATATGTCCTTGAGTGAGACAGTAAACTGCTACCTGATCATTCAAAGTCACTGTGGGTAACAGTGCCAGCTAAATGCTGGAATTGTAAATGTAAATGAGTGGATGGCTTCTCTTTTCCACAAGGGAATAGCCTTCTGAACTTAATAGTTTTGCTCCCTGTTAAATCCGTATTGGAGAATGATGCAGCACCTCTCTTATCCACTTTCTTATTCCTCCCACAACCCGTCCACTAATCTATAATTTATATCTCCATTTACATACCTCTTGTGATACACATTGTGGTCCAAGCCTATGTTAACCTCACAGTTAAAAGGGCAGTTAACCTGAGATCTGGTTTATGTAGAATATCTTCATTTATTCTTGCTCAGCATTTTCCCCTTTTCTATTCTTTTGCTCCGTTTATCGTTCGTGAGTTCAGCGGAAGACACACTTGCTTCTGAATGCCAATGTCTTGTTTGTATTAAGTAGATTTAAGCACTTTTTGTTCTCTAAGCCAACTAGTATAAAAAAGTCCTGATTAATGTCATCATGTTGTAATTTGACTACAATACTTTATGATTTATCAGATTACAGACAACAGAGGTACATTCTGGAGTCTTGCCTATCTTCTGGCCTCTCTTCTTCATCCGTCAGCTCTGTTCAGCTTCCCAAAGAGGACTGCCCTTGGTTCTTGGACAGGGACACTGCATCATCACTGCTCTGCTGCAGGCGAGCTAACAAACAACAGATAGCAGATGATAAACTCCAGCCATATACCTGTATGATATCACCAAGCATCGGCATCCACACCAAGCAATCACAGGAATCAATGAAAGGGCAACAGAATGTGGCCACGCTTTATTTTTTTTCTCAATGTGGTCTTTAAATCTCTTTTTTTCCTGATATATTCATCTCTGCATGTGATATTTACCTTTACGCAAATATTTGAACTTGCCTTATCCAAGCGCAACACGCTCCGTCTTTAGAAATGTTCCCTTGACAACCGAGTGGAGCAGCTTCAGAAACCTATTTTCACATCTTGTCAGAAAACATATCATGGGAGGAATTCAGCAGTGCGAGCTGCACCTCACACCCAGTTTAAACCACTCTTTATGGGTGGTTTAAGCTCTGTCTCTCTATCTCGAGTTTCACAACATTGTTGAGGAATTAAAAAAAAAAAAGCTCTGGCACTGAAGTTACATCAGCAAGGCAGGCTTTCAAGAAGAGTTCTTAGTTTTGACTGATTGCAATTGCCAGTTCAATCAGTGGCCTATTCTTCCTTTACCTTTGCACTCACTGTTTATAGCTGTTAGAGTTGAGTTAATAGGAACCCTAATACTTGACACAAGAGGTGTGTTGTAAAAACTGAATGTGAGCTTTCCTTACAAAAGGCAAGAGAGGATTGAACAAAACCAACCAGCCAAACAAAGATGAGGGGGAGCTTGTGGAGACGGAAATGAAAATAAAAGGTGAATCCCAAAAGAATATGCTGGAACTGGAGAACCCTACAGTGGGAAAACGTTTGCAGAGGCTACAATCAAAGAGTGGAAACGGTCTATTATATTGTTTGTTTTGTCATGTATGATTAGACAAAGAATTCAAAAAGATTTTGGCAAAAGTGATGGCCATGTGAAGTGGGCCTGATTACACTGACACTCGCCAATGATTTGGTACTCTGTTGTGCAAATGGAGAACAAAAAGTGCTGAAGAGTTGTAGCCCTGTGCACTCCTGCTGCGTCGCTCCCCGTAGGTTTCTTGAAGGTGAACTTTACAATCAAGGTTGGAATTTCTGGTGAAAATGTTGCTGCAACAGAAATGTACTGACCTCTACCTTTCATTAAGGTAACTCCGGCGTATCATTGGAAGGAGGACCTGGCACCACTGGCTGGCCGGTGGATAAACTTTCAGATTTTTTCCTCCCGGGATTTTTTTCAGCTGAAGTATAAAGTTACTCAAAAGTGTTTATACCGGTATAATCTAATTTTTTCTTTGTCCCCTGTAAAGTATTGCCCCTGTGTCTTTCTCCTTTTTCCAGTCCCAGAGCAGCAACACCAATGCTTTTAGGTCATGCTGTTAGAAACAAACT